CACGCGGGAACGCGATTTTGAACGAAAAACAACGAAATTTTAAGGATGCTCTGCACGGGAGCGCAATTTCATTCAAGATTGTCAGGATGCTCCGCGCTGGAGCGTGATTTTGAATGAAAGAACGATGAAATCTTTTGAGGATGCTCCGCACAGGAGCGCAATTTTTTTCCAAATTTTCAGGATGCTCCGCGATTTTTGTTCAAATTTTCAGGATGCTCCGCACGGGAGCACGATTTTTGTCCAAATTGTCGGGATGCTCCGCACAGGAACGCAATTCTTGTCAAAATTATCAGGCTGCTCCCATCCAAATTTTCAGGATGCTCCGCACGAGAGCGCGATTTTGAACGACGGCGTCGCGAATCCTATACCATGCCGCCCTGAAAACCACAAGTACGCCGGGACTCGTTTGGTATAGAATTGGTATACAAACCTTCGACATCATGGTTCATGAATGATCCAAATTTTCCGAAAGCTCCGCACGGGAGCGTCGTTTTGATCGAATTTGATTATGATGAATCGACGAAATTTTGGGGAAGCTCCGCACGGGAGCGCGATTTTTGAAGATATCAAGACCATCACGATGCAAAGAACGCGAGTGTCTCGAACGGGGGCGCAATTTTGCAAAAAATCATGAGCAAGCAAAACCCGGAATCTTGAGGATGTCCCACGTGAGCGCAATTTTGCTCCAACAGGGGCGCGACCAGTTCGGTACGGGTCCCCTCTACCAGGCCTACTTTAAAGGCAAAGTCGCCGATTTCTTGGACCGATAAATCAAGACCGAAATCCGAGTTTTTGAGGATGCTCCGAGCGAGAGCGCAATTTTGAAGACACAGGGAGCGCGTCCAAAATGTTTGCGCGACGGAAGAGCACGCGCGCGCGCGGCGGGCAACGTTACATCTTACAATTAGAACCCCACAAATGTCGGGAAAAAATACACACTACTTATATGAGCAGCCAGTGCATTCTATGCATAGCAGAAGTTCATTAAGGCAGTCTCTGCATAGTGTTGAGAAGTCCTCGGTATTGCAGCTATGCAGCAAAGGATCTGGAACTTTACAAAGTTGACGGCGTTGCTTGGCAGCCAATAACCACAAACGTGCCAGACTCACTGGTGGGAATGGCAAGGCTATGTACATATCCATATGAGGTACTGTCAATATTACGCTTAACAAGGGGCCCATCAAGGGTGGACATAGGGGTCGGCTAGTTTTGTTTGGTCTCTAATTTGTTTTTTCATACGAGCCTATGTCAAGTAGCCCACATGTATACACAGGGATCCACTCCTCCCCCCTTTAAGCACCAGCGAGAAATAGTTCAGCCAGGTTTTTGATCTCACCACACTGTCGTGCATGCTTTCATGACTGCTTGAAGCTGCACCTTCTTGCCGCCAGGCTTTGCCTTCAAACCTTAAAGAGGTTGGCAAGCTGCCAAATCAGGTTGTGGTCCACGCTATCATAGATGCAAGAGAAAGTTCCAGATCCACATGACATTTCCATGCCCTCTCATCCTCCACTAGTGAGGGCAAACCCTGCACTCTTTGCACAAAAAACCTATGACCCCTGTAGTATTCGTGTGATCCTTTGTAATCGACCCTAGAACTATAACCCATTCCATGTTAGCATGCTGAGCACCCTTAACCGTAAACACCTTACAGTTTCCATCTGCTTTCCATTCCCTACTAGCACCAGGGAGTTGATCATTTGGGATTTTCGCTTGCCGCCATGGCTGATGCCGGCGTGGACGGCAGCCTTGAACTGAAGGCGAATATCCCATGCATGGCAGCTCGCAAAGACCTAGGTATGGAAAATCTCTGGTTGAAACCAGGCATTTGCAATAGTCTCCTGGACTAGACTCACTGGGAATGACAAGGAGATTCTAGGATCCTCTTAGCGCTATAGGCAGTGATTACGTTGAGAAAGATTCATGGCAGACGGTACGCGCCTCCTGTGGCTGTGTTCGTCTTGCAGGTGGATGCTTTCTGGAAGCTTCATGCTAAGCTGGGCGAGGCCAAGTGTGGTTTCGGCGAGTGCTCAGTGTACGGCTTGAATCCAAAGCACCAGGGCTGCGAATCTTCCCAAACCACTACCTGGTGCTGAGAAAGGAAAGACACTGGTCCATCCCTTCAAATAGTCACTATAACCGATCCCCCACATTTCCTACCAAGCACACCGGAGATGTTGCAGGCGCATAGCCAAGCCATTGCGGAGCTGTCGCAAAAGCTGCAATCGCAGGCTCACCAACTTTCGTCTGTGGTAGTGTTGGCTGCGGGGCCTGGGTCTGTTGAAAGCTGATCCCTTGGCCTGTAGCTGCACAGCTGGGACAGCTGTAATCGATTTCCTTGCGCGCCGGCATGGTCAGGATCATATTCAGGCTACCAGAAATGTTTGAAACGTTCCGGAGAGCATCTGTATGTGTGCGTGTGTGCCCCGTCGGTTTGGCAGGCATCAAACAGCGCAGCAAGAGATTTACAGAGTGGTGGCACGCTAGAAAGGGAGGACTCTGCGGCTTGGCATGTTCCGGTGTTTGTGAAGTATTCCAAACAGGCCATACCTACACGGGGGTTTAATGCGGGATCTCCTCAGTAGGGGCCCCACCCATAGTAAGGATATCTTTGGGTGGAGATAGAGGCCCCCAATCCTTGGAAGGTCCCATGCCTTCATACACCACGCCAAGGATGATGACGAGTCGATCGCATCACTGCCGCATGATCGACAGGAGCGCGGTTCAAAGGAAATTGAAGCTGGGGGCTTCTTGGGCTCCACTTGCAGAGGTTCTGTGCGTGATTAGAATTAGAAGCAGGTCTAGGAAGGCCCCAAATCTGTTTAGCATTATTGCATTTTTTGCGTATAGCTGTACTAATCACTCATAACCACATTGTCAGCAACCCATGAATCTCCAGGCTACTGATACTGCTGCCCGTGCTGTCTTACAATTGGACCCTGAACTTGTAAGTTTTAGAAGAAGATGTGCCTAGCAACAGGACAGGGTGGGCGTGCCTTCCTTCGCTCTTGACGTGAGGAAAAAGTTTAGCTCTTGTCATGGTCGCAAGCATTACCTCAAAGAAAAATGGATCCTTCTGCAATCCGTATAGTAGCTCCAAGAACTGAGGTCTTGGTTCGTTTCTTGCATTGCAGCGTTTCGCTGTGGTTCCCTCTAAGTGGTTCGCGCGTTTCGTGTATTTAATGCGTTTCATTCTCTTGTGAGAAGAGGTAAGTCCCAGAACTGGAACCCTAAGCCCTAAGAAGAAGGAAGCTGCTGAGGCTCAGGATCTTTTCCGCGTCTCAGCCTGATGCGCAGCGGATCGAAGCTCAGTGCCTCAGGTTGCGGGCTTAGGGTCTGGGGTGCAGGTTTCTCGGGGGGTTTTAGCCTTAAAGGGGTAGGGTTTAGGGTTGACCGAAGACCCATTCTTTCCCTTAATTTAGCAATCCTAGGTGGGCTTCCTCCATGTGGCAAACAGTAATTTTGGCCAACACTCCTTTGGGAGTTTCTGTTTTTCAAGTTGATCATTCTTTCGTCTTAACAGGGATCCCAGTGGGCCCTCTTTTTGAGAATCCTCATGTAGCATGGTGGCCCTGTTCTGACAGGTGCTCAGCTTTCTGTCCCAATGGGCCCACAGACGTGGCTTGGACCAGCAGGAAGGGGTTATTGGCTTCAATCTCCGGCCTCTAATAATAACCCACAACCTTCGATGACAACTCCCATTATGATAACTACCCACCATGTACTACCCTCATATAATACGGGCCATATTCATTATGTTCGTTCTTGATTGGGGTGGGGGGTTTTCGCATTACCAGAGGGGATGATGATCGGGATGACTACGGGATGAGCAGTGGGAGCATCTAGCATTCTCGTGGAAGACAAGTTTGAAGGCAAGGGTTACTGCATGCTGGATACGTAGAAGGGTGGTTGTGACAGGGATGATTATCGTGGGGATGCATTCGACAGTGCTTTTAATCTGAGGCCACCTGTTGGCTCACCAGTGAACAGCGTGAGTGGTCTGAAGAGGCGGAGCGCAACAGCTGCTCATTGGATTAGCCTTCGTCTGGAGAGGTCTGTGGCACGTCTTGTCTTAGCAACTTCAGTCAGCAAGAACCAGACCTGCCCATCCGGGAATGTGAAGGGCAATCTGCGAACACCTTCCTCGTGCTCCTGAAGTCACATGGTAATTGAAGAAAAAGACTTCAGCTTTTGCAGCTATAGCCGCGTACTACAATGGCAGGGCCCCAACAGGATCCATAATTTCGTAAGGCGAAAGTCACTCAAGTTGCCAACATGCAAGTTTCCCTAAACTTCTCTGAGTAGAAATCGCACAGATAGCTGTCGAAGCAATGTGTGAACGTGACGTGGCATCTTGTCCCCGAAGTAGCATGTGCTTGACTGCTTAATGCTATGTTAAGCTACACCACTGATCGATGTTTGGGTTTCAAAAAAGCAGTACGTTGCCAAGATTTGCTTGTGCTTAGGGGGGAGTGGGGGAGGGAATTCAGGTGCCGTTAAAGGGGATGGCAAGTCATTGTAGGGATGCACTCCCCGGCCTGCTTAAGCACCCGACCACCCAGGACAGGCAGGTGAGGTGAGTTCCACTTAGATTCCAGATGACATCCTCACAAAATCCTGGTAATGTATCAGAATATACATACCTAGTAGTCAGTAATCTTGACCCCTAAACTCTAGCATTAGCCCTAAACTATCAATGGCTGTCGAGAAGGGCCCGCATGGCAGTTCGAGGTTGACAGTACCTTCGGGAAGGGCCGTCAGCGGTGTCTCAGCTCTTTGGCAAAGCATTGGCTCAGCAATGTCCCTGTATGTTCTTTTAGGGGGGGGTTGTAAGTAGGACAAGTACACATACAACCACTTTATCTACCCATACACCCCAAGGATATGACCGTGTAGTCCTCTGACCTGTATCCTGAGCAGGTACTTCCCAAAACAGGGGCCCCTGAACTAACTACCCCCACATAGTGTAATCCTCGTGCGGACCAGGCTCAGCGTCTTTCATGTCTGCCGTGAATCCAGAGTATGTTGCCTTGGGTGAAGTTGGTGACATCTCGTGCCCTGACTGTGATGGACGGGACCTGCAGCAGCTAGTTCTGCTAGATTCAGGTCTTTCTGGGTCATTGTTGGATATGATTTGAATTCGTGTTTATATTCACACCCGATAAAGTACATGAAGTTACATAGTTGTAAATGTTGTCTCAGTCAGGCAGCAGGTTGCTTGGTTTACATACAGTAGGGTGGTAGCCGCGCGGCAGAAAAGCTGTTTGAGGAAGCAAGCCAGAGGACCCCGAACCCAGGCAAATGGTCATGGGAGCCGGAGACGACGCGGCGGCGCGAGAGATCGCCACAAAGCTTCAGGCCGCTACCCGTGAAAGGGTACTTTACCAAGATGACTTGGGAAAACGTTGCGATTCCATTTGATCGGAAAGGTTGAGGTCAGGTTGGGGAAGCCTGTTGGAACAAACTAAGCGGAATTGCAGGTGCCGTAAGCGTACATGTCCCGAACGAGAAATACCGCCGTAGGGTCTGGACCATTAGCTTGACGTCAGGGAAGCCCCGTGCGGGGAGCCTTGGTTATCTGGGATTCCTTTTAATGCTTGCCCTGTTCTAGAAAACAGAATCCCGGTTTCATACAGAAGCAAGCAAACCACATCATTTGATGGATCAATCTGTTGGAGGTGTATTCACAATTGACTAACCGTTACCGATTGCTTGAGTTCACTGCAGCAAGTTCTAGTTTTGCACCGGCGGAAGGTAAAAGCTAAGCAGCGGCGCTGGCTCGGCTGAGGGTTTAAGGCTTTAGGAATTGAAAGTTGAGGTTTGTCAGATTTGTCAGTCCCAAAACTCATGATTGTGTTGCAAAAGAAGGGCATGCTTGCGAGACTGCACGGAAGAAGCCACAACCCGGGATAGCAGGCCAACATCCTTGGCTTTCTATTGGAGGCATGCATTGATTGCAAAGGGTGGAAGACGTTATGAATGAACCCTCAACCAAAAATGTTCCGCAATTCCTGGGCAGTCCCCACATAACCAAATCCGGAGTTTTGCCCGCATGACAGGAAGCCTTGGCAGCTCTGGAACCGGAGGACGACAAGAGGGGCTGTGAGATTGGGGCGGGACACACGGGAAGGCGTTTTTGTTGTTGGAGGCAGGTTGGGTCTACGCAAATGCATGGAGGGTGCCAGGTCTTGCTTTGCAGAGGAACCCTCAACCTTTAGGCTCAACCTGGACACGGAGGACCATGGAGCCCTCCTGAATCGTCATGCAATTCCTCATTTGAGGCTTGGATGAAACAGATCCACTCAGCTGATCATCGCTACCTTGTAGACTGTATGGTGCTATGTATGCCGAGAATGCTCCATATCAATCCCTTTAGAGTAGCACACTCTATGGACATAGATATATGCTCACATGCATCTAATATATGTATATGATATAGAGGTGTGTGCATAGGCATGTGTATATGTGCGAACACATATGTGTATTTGTATTTGTATATGTATATTCATATGTATTTGTATTTCTCCGCATGTCATACACACGCACACACACATGTATCCATAATGGTACGTAATCATATTGAAAATTCTTGTTCTGCGTATTCTGATACATGTTACGATCAACCAGCAGTGTTGTTATACAGCCCGGCTGTGCTGGAGTTAATTGTGCAGCATCAGCCTCTGTCAAGGAAACAGAAGTTACCCAGCCTGGATGATGATGCAGAAGATGAAGCTTACTTCCGGCCAAGGATGGAGCAGCTTGGCAGCTGTGATTATTGTCATTGTCAGATAATTTCTATCATTACCATGCTTGAAAACTCTTTGCTCCCCTCCGAGAGCTGATCCGAACCACGGGACTTGTTCACGACCATGTGCAAGGCCATTAAGTTTGCGAGTAAACAAATTGGGGAGCCTTCCAACCTCCTTAAATCTTAAAGCAGATGGAAGTTCAGGTGGTCTGGAGCTACCAACAACCAGGGCAACAAGGGGCGGCCATCTACACGAAAAGGTTTCTGGCTGCAATTCCTTGGGGTTTAGAGTGTTGGGTTTCGGGAGGTGTACTGAGGAGATCATGCCATGTCTTCAGCCAGAGACCTTTTTTTCTTTCATTCTGTTTCATCTGCGTCGCCCTGAGCTGCCGTCACGGTGAACAGCCACATGGACCTGGGGGAGGACATCGGGGAGATCGGAACGAAGCTTTGCATCAACTTGATGGGCGCGTCGTACCCTGCTGGGAGTGGGGAGTGGGTCCCTATGACTATCCTCAGATACTGCCCATATGTAACCCCCCCGCTGTAGTACCTAAATTCACTCCACTGCTCACCCCGAAGCACTATCAAGCTGCAAGCAGTTTGGCGCCGGGAAGCAGGTTGTGATCACTTGTGGATTCAGCGTGGCTTGACCTTCGTACACTTCTTTTTGTTCCTTTTTTCTTTTTGCGAAGCGTTGTGGTAGTTATAGCTTTGTCGCACCCGTCACTATGAACTCAGCTGGCGCGCACAAGTCATCTCTAAACAAGCGGCCGTGTTCTGCAACTGCAACCAGGAATCGAAGGTCTACAAGCAGCCTCTATGGCCCAATGCACAGTTGGCTGCCCAGGTGTCTGGGCTGAAGCTCTGGCTACAAAGTCCAGGGCTTGGGGCTTTGGCTTTGGGTTCGGGTTTTGAGTCTTGGTTTTGCTCAGAAACTCCGGGCGCGTGCGCAGATTGCCACACTTCACTTCGAGGATCATGGTTTCTTTGGTGTAGCTCGCAATGCATGGGTCGCGAATGCGTGCTCTTTACGGGAGTGCCCCGCTGTGGCGCTATAATATACACAAAAAATAAATGAACATATATATCTACATATATATATATATATGAGGCAGGAACCTTTACGTATAATGTGATTTGTTTTTCCTTTCTGTATAGACCTTAAGTAGAAGGGCCTAAACATTGCTTGACTGCTCATATATAAGATATAGCACAAAAAAGTGAAGTACGTTTTTTTCATTATGTTCTCAGGCACGAGAACCCAGCAGCGACTGACGGACACTTCCGAAAGCTGGTGTGCAAACAGAAGCTGACGTTGTGCTGTGCGCGATCGACTATACGAGTTGCAGTGACACATGGTCTACAGAAGCAAACCGGCTAATATTTTTGGCTTTTGGAGCGGGGGTCCTCTCATTCCCATTGGATTCCGCCTGGTCCTATTACTATCAGATTCCTCTCATTCCCATTGGATTCCTCCTATTGATATCAGATTCTTCATAGGAGTCCGTCACTCTTATTAGATTTGCAAAAGGAGCTCTTGCATTACTATTTGATTCTCAATAGGAATCCTGTCACTCGAACGCGGAATCCTTTCATTCCTGTTCAACTTCTCACAAAAGTCTCCTCAGGCTCATTGGAATCTTCATAGACGTACTTTTTCTCAGTCAATTCTGCATAGCAATCCTCTCATGCCCAATGACCAATATATTCGTGATAGGAGTCCTCTGAACCCCATTCGATTCGGAGTAGACGTCTTCCCATTCCCAACAGATTCTTACCAGGACTGTTCTCATTCCTGTAAGCTTTTCCGCTCGTTCTTATTAGGTTCTTAATCGAGGTCCTCCTCTCATTCGTATGAGACGCTAAAAGGAATCCTCTCTGATTTCCAATAGTTTCCAATAGGGCTCCTCAACCTACCACTCGATTCC